CCAGATTGGATGGGGCCCTGGGCAGTCTGGTCTAGCATTAGGTGGGATGATTGGTGGCCCTGCATGTGGCATGGAGATTGGAGATTCATGATCCTTGAGGTCCCTTCCAACCCTGGCAATTCTGTGAATTCTGTAAAGGGTGCGAGTGGGCTTTACCTTCTTCAGATCCTTTAGATCTGGCGTGGAATAAAGCATGCCTAAAGTACTCTGGGCCTGTACGCTTGCTTTTGGATTCCCATGGTCTGCAGCAATAAGCCACAACCTAAGAAAACAGAGACAAAGAAAGTTCAGTAGCAGTATCTCAGCATCTTCAACTCATCAGAAAAATTACTGTCTGCAATCACCTTTCAGCCTCTTCAGTTGAATGCTTAACACCATATCCTTCATAATATGCTCTGCCAAGATTGTATGCAGCTGCAAACCTTAAGTGTCTTGCTTCTGGAGAATCAGAGTTGAGTATTTTCTTCATGTATTCCACTCCCTTTTCCTACAATTGAGGTGTTACAATCATTACATTTCAGCTGCAAAGCCTCTCTTTAAAATGTGTATGGACAGTGTGGCTATCAGTGAGATTCTGACATCTCATTTACCTAAATACCTTTCACATTTGCAGTTTTTTAAAAACTATTATATTTTTGTCTAAGTGGAACTGTCTTATAACTATTCTAACAAATGCTGCTTTTAAATGGCTATTATTCTATAATATACATAAATCTTTATTTTCTAGTGCACCATCAAAGATTACTGGAGGTGTTCAAAGCCAGGTTGGATGGGGCCCTGGGCAGCCTGGTCTAGGACCAGATCTAGAGGTTGGTGGCCCTGCCTATGGCAAGGGGGTTGCAGCTTGGTGATCCTTGGCCATTCTATGATTCCACTTGGACACTTCATCTCTCTTCTTGCCTTACTTCTGGAACACCAGAAATGCTGCACCACTTCTTAGCAAAAGATGCTGGCTATTTGCAAGTCAAACAAACAGATGTGCTTCTGTGTCTACACGAAATCTAGCCTCTACATTTTCACAGAGCATGACTTTCTTCATGCTTACCTGCATCAACATGGTAACAACAGAAGTCTTTAAAGTGCTTTGATGGTTTAAGGAGCTAATTCTGGCATATGGAGATGCTTTACACTTGGCAATACAGTTGTCTGATTTCCATTTTTACAGATTCCATTTTTATCTACACTGCTTGTTAAACATTAACAGATTAATAACAATTTTTAAACAAGCGACATTGCTTCCATACAGAATACAATCAAAGTCTTAGAAGTGATACTTTAAAACAAAAATTACCATGTGTATTTTTCAAATAAACGTGTTTCATTGTACCTGGTTTTGAAAATTTCTACAGCCCAGATACCTCCTTTGATGATGCTTTGTGAGCATCTGTACCTCATGAAACTATTTCTAAATCAAGGCCTTATTTATCTTAAATTATCAAGTTTATAAAGAAGCTTTTAGTAATTAAAAATTGCTATCATAAGAAAAGTAAAAAGTACAGCTAGATTACTCACAGGGTCTTCATTAGTGCCTAGTCCATCGTAATGCATTACACCAAGCTGATACAGTGCCTGAAAATCTGTATCCTTGTTTTTTTCAAATTGTACTAATGCTTCTTCATACCTCCCCTGGGAAAGAAGGATGAAGATACAGTACACCAAATGAGGAGTACAGCTTACCTCTCCAGTGGATCTCCTCACGCAGATTTTCAGACTGGAGCATTTCAGTCACAAAAAAAAAGAAGAACAAAACAAAACACAACCACAGAAGTGGCAGAAAATGAAGAGTGAGTTAGCAACTGCAACAACACTGGGAAATGATGGAAGCACTTCCATCTAAGGTTTTATTGTTTTCAGGTATACGTACAAAAAACCAAACACCTAAATATAAGTAGTGGTATGCAAATGCAGGAGAAACAGGTGCTGAGAATAAACATGCACCAGACTCAAGAGAGCTCCATTTGATAGCCTGTAAACCTCAGTGGGTCACAATGTCTTGATGTGGAACTCAGACTGATTTTCCAGGAGAGGGGAAGGGCATACAGTTGAAAGAACTGCTTCTGCCCTTTAAATTTAGTCTGAAGATTTGCCTTCACTACTTTATGGGTTTATTTTTTGTCCTCAGTGTTGCTGTTTTTTCCGACATACATACAAAGAACAAGGTATATGCAGGACAGTATAAGCCCAAGGATTCTGCAATCTATCTCATCACCTCACCCACAACTCGTTCATCCCATTCTGCCTTCCGCAGTGACCTCACATGTTCTGCCCTTGTGACAGAGTAAGAATATAACAGGATTCACTAGGTTTATTGAATGAACTTGGTTTCCTGATGAAATATGGTTTCTCCATCTGCTTGCGCTTGTTAGAAAGAATCTTAAAGAGCATTTGCTCCTGCAGTGGGTTGTAAAGGAAAATGTATTTAGAAGTACACAATAGAACAACTGCAGTGTAAGAGCTAACTGACAAACTGGTGCTCTTACTAAAACACTGTTATGTAGGCATAGAAAAATATTAAATAAAACCAAGTATTTCTTGTATCGTTTGGTAAAACAACACCGGAACTGTCAAAGCTTAGAAGTGAGCAGCTGCGGGACAGTAAGACACCTCACAATGAGGAAACACCCAGTGTTCATACAGTCCACTCTTCTGAAAGAGGAAAACAGTGCCTTCTTCCAGCCAGCTGATGTGTCAGATAACGAAGTGTGGCAGCACTTGTACTCTCACTTTTCCTCTGAACTCAGTGCTCTGAGGTGTATCATAGGGTTCTGATCAGGTGCTGATTTCTTTTAACATCTGCAGTGGTATGAGAGCACGCATTTTTAGGCCATACAGATGTACGCTCAAAAATACGGAAATGGAAACCCGCCCAAGCAGAAAATTGAAGGGTGGACAACAGTTTATAACGTGGACATCTACGCCAGCTCAAGAAACAGACAGGCCTGCTTCTCCTTTTTTACTCCTATCAAAGGCAGTGATGCAGTAACGAAAGCATAGAGCACCTGCATGGAACACAAGGAAGATGCCCAGCTGCTCCCGCTGCCAACCACAGGCCTGGCTAACCGATGCCCCTTCCTGCACTGCTGGCAGGACCGAGTCCAATGCCCCACAGCACAAAGCACAGCAGGTGCTGGCCCAGACACAGCTCCGGACGCCAGCTGTGGGAGAGCGGGAACACCTGGGAAAAAGCAGGCACGGGCATCTCCCGTTGTTTTCTATGCTGTCGTTTACCGCTAAAACTGAACGCAGTCATTTAATATCTACTTTTAAGAAAGGAAAACCCCAACCTCTTCATAGTACCGCTGTCCTCTTAGAAAGCACGCCCAGGGATCTCCATCTTCTGCTCTCCTCGCCAGCGAGGCAGCACGGCTGTCGTCCTCTGCTCAGAAATAAGCACACGTTTTTGGTGTTGTTTTTTTTTTTCTTTCTATAACCAAGGAAACAGTAAGCAAACTAAAACAAAAGGAAGACGAAGCAGAGTGCTATGCATGAGGCGGGTGCCTGCACGATGGCCGCACTGGCAGAGGCAGAAACACCACCACACGGCGAAAGAAGGGCCCGGGGAGAGACGCAGCTGTCCCAGCCCTTGTGCAAAGGAACTGCCCGTCCCCGTACCCGACAGCAGGCAGGCGGCCCCGCTGGCCGTGGCGCGGCGCATCCCCTCGCTGCGCGCTTCCATGGCGGCCCGCTCCGCCCCGGGCGCCGTTACTGCCCGCCCCGGGCGCCCTGAGCGGGAGGGCGGGGCGGTGCTGTCGCGGGCCCAACGTTGGAAGGGAGAGGTGGGCTGGCCGGTATGTTTAGCTTTGCCTCAAAGAACCACTGCTCACGCAGCAACGAAATCGGGCACCTTGCAATGCCTTGCTCTCCTTGCACCTGGCGATGCCGAAGTTGGGTAGTTCCACTCTGTTTAGCATGTCAGCGTTAACCTGCTGAGAACGGGTGTTGTACAGAGCACTTCCACTTCAGTGTGGCTGCTAAGGCTGTAAATACAGCATAGCATGGCTGTGCTCATAAAGGTCACGTTACAAACTGCTGTACACCTGCATGCAGGAGTTACACACACCATATGCTGTGTGTTCAAGTCACAGAATCACAGAATCATAGAATGGCCTGGGTTGAAAAGGACCACAATGATCATCTATTTTCAACCCCCCTGCTGTGTGCACAGTCACCAACCACCAGACCTGGCTGCTCAGAGCCACATCCAGCCTGGCCCTGAATGCCTCCAGGGATGGGGCATCCACGACCTCCTTGGGCAACCTGTTCCAGTGCATCACCACCCTCTTCTGAGTGAAAAAACTCCTCTGTAGTAACTTTAAAACAACAACAAAAAACCCGACACCATTTTAGCAGTTACATAAATAAATTCGGTGTTGCATAAGCTGGAAGCAGATGTATACGTATTGAAGGTTATGGTGCTGCCAAAAATGAGCATTGTGTAGAATGGCACTCAGAAGGCTCCCCACATTTTTTTTTTCCACGTTATTCTCAGTGATGCCCAGATGGAGAAGCTGACAAAGATGGCAGTTTTACTTGTACCACAAATGTATCCTACTGCACTGATGACAGTAGAACATTTGTTTGTTCATATGACTTGGTCTCCTGGCTGACAAAAGAAATGCCTTGTAATCCCAAAGTCAAATTAATGGGAATCCAAGGGCCAATAGAATTTGACTGGACAATGAACGGAATGGCTTGATGTGTGCGGTAACATTGTCTCCTTCTGACAAGGAGGAAAACTCATTTATTTTCACTTCTAACAGAAGACCACTGTTTTGCTTTTTCCTACAATATTTGTATTCATACAGCTATAAATAAATAAGCATATAATAGTTTAGTCTCTCATACTTTTCCTGTGTAAATGAGAGCAAAAGTTCATAAAATTCAGTTCATACAGATTTTTTTTTCCTTAACTCTCATCTAAAATACCATTATTAACAGTGAAAGCAGTGAATGATGGCTTTGAATAGACTCAAACTGTGAAATCCACCTGGCTCTACAGAACCTGAAAGGTAAGAGTACAATTTTTATGAAACTCGGGAAAGAGTTTCATAAAATAAAAGGATCAGACATTTAACTTCTAAAGCTTTTAAGCATAATAAAATCGTTATATAAACAAAGTTATCTTAGCCAAAAGAAGGGAAAGAGTAGTCGTTACTTAATAATTTGTAAAAAAATGCATTCACAGCAGAAAACTCTCTTATTCTTTGAGGTTTCATTAAAAAAAAAAAAAATCTTGATTTAAATTATGTATGTAACATTTCTATTTCAATTGGGTTTTGATCAATTTAAAGTATTAGTCTGCAAACTAAAAAGATAGTTACTTCTAGGCCTGCTAGTACTCTGGCTAAGCATGTTCTTGCATAAGATTGGGATTTAAATAATTTTTGGTCGTTGAGGTAGGCACAGGTTATAATAGGCATCCTTGCTCCAGAAGTCCGGGCCCTTCCAGCCACACCAGCCCTGGCCAAGAAAAAGAAAAGACAATTTAAATCTGCTATGAGTTCTGTCTTTCATATCCATTGTTAAATTAAGATCTATCTTACTAAAAGCAGCATCTCTTCTTTCTATATCCCACTGCCTTCTGCTGCTACAGAGACTAATGCTGTTCTGAAACACTGTCATTCTCACAGTTCTAATTTCTCTTCTCTTGAAGAACTTCTGCCTTCCTTAGAAGTAGATCAGAGCCAAACTGAGCTCTTAAGGTGTGCCACTGATCATGATTTACTAAATCAGTCCAGCTAAATTTACAGAATAAGAGGTCATTAAATGAGGTATTTCCAATGCAAAGGAGGGACAAACTTACTCTGAGAGAGAAAATTTGTTTGTACTGCAATAATTTTACAGGTTAGTGACCCGATACATCTTCTCCAGGACCACTACATTTCAGAAACTAACAATAGCTAACGTGTATGCAGATTAACTGGGATCAGCACTTCCCATGGGAACCCACTTCTCTATGAAAAACTTACAGAATGGCCAATTTGTAATTGACCATGCATTATTTAATAACATATATGCATTCATAGATGTGTGTGTGTACACACGGACATGAAGTCTCACCTTTTCCAAAATAACATGCAGGTCTTCTCCTCCAGTGTAATGTGGGTCTAGAATCAAATATTTTATGTGCCCTGTTATTTCATTCCATGCCACTCCTAGTATTGTGTGAGCCAAAACACCTCCACCTAACACAGGAGGAAAACAAACTGTTAATTTTTTTTCACTAGATTGTCTAAATACGCAAGTCTCAAAAAAAAAAAGTACTAGTAATAAATAAATAAAAGTATTTCTCATTTTTTTAACTACTGGTTTCTTGAAATACTCACATTAAAATTAAGACGTTCTTATGAATGACATTTGCAATGATACCAACATTTCAGATTATTTAAGTATGCATACTGGTCCTACGATGAATTTGGATAAAGAATGATACTCCTCTCCTTAAAGCCAGATAAACACTACTCTTCCAAGGTGGGAAGTTTTGGGGAACTGCATGACCAATTGTCCATCTACCAAGATGAAACTTCTAGAGAAGTCAGCTTCTCTCAAGTTCTGACTTTAAAAGCAGCCTTTGAGAACACCGTTCAGATAGATTTTTGTTGAGGGAAATACTGAATGAAAAAGATACCAGGCAGACTAAATTGCATGGTTTTTTAGGCTCCCTTGAGAAGAGTGTAATTTTAATTCACTGGGGGTTTTGACTAGCTCTTGTAAACTACTAGTAGCAATTGAGTACTATTAGTACTTTGAGAACTAATTGAAATGAAGTTCACCAGAGGAAGGCCTCGAACATTGACTGGCATTCTTTGATACTCCAGTACTCACCAATCATAACTGGAGTTCCTTCAGTCTTGAAATGATTAGCAAGCTCTCTTCCCTGCAAAGCGAGTTCAGAACCCTGGCTAGGTAAGAAACAGAATGTTAGATCTGTCATCCTCACAAGGCTTAGTTTTTTAAATTATCCATCACATTCATTAACTGCACAGGTAACTGCTTAGAGAGTGGCTGTTGTGGTTTAGAATTTTTCTGTGTAAATCTCTTGGGACAAGCTGGAAAAAAGCATTCTTTAAACAACTTCAGAGATTCTGGCTGGGCTATCGAATTCACAGTAAACCTCACTGCCACTGAAGCACCTGGAGTATCCAGGTTCTGTCATGTTTCTGCTGTTTGTCTCCCACACTGGGGACAGCTGGTAAACCCCAATGGCTCCCTTCAAGAGATAAAAAAAAGCACCAGACTAGCAACACGTGTCAGCAAGGGGAAGTAACACAACTTCATCAGAGCCTAATAAAAATAAGGCACCAATAAAGGTGTTTATACTGATGTGTCTTAAGATAGCTTTCCACTTTAATTGCACAAGCAATTGCAATGCTCATATCCAAGCTACCTTTAAAAAATCGTATCTGAAATATCACTAGTAATATCACTAGTAGTCAAAGCAACACTGAACTTAGCCTGTTTAATTTCCCTAATTTCCTGTTCAACTCTGCTACAAAGAATAAATCTATATGGAAGAGTAAGCTGTACACATACAACGTGTACACATTCCATGATTCAGAGCTCACATGCTTCTGAAGGAGACTCATACTCTCCTCAGAAGACTGGCTGTACGTCTGAAAGAGGCGACAGAAGCTAGGCAAGGAAATGCATACAGATGTCTTTATATTTCTTCATATTGTGGTTAACGTTTTTAAAACACAAACTGGGTGTCTGCTTCACCAGATCCTGGAGAGATGGACTAAATACAGACAGAGTGTAAAGCTGGAACTCTGGGAAATGGGATGGTGTGTTTATAATAATGGATTTGGCACTGCTGTTGCTGATGGAGCTGTGAAGCTCCATTTGCATAAAGAAGGAGTTACAGGTGCTAGCTGAAAGTAAGTCTGAGAGAAAAATGCAGCCTTTTTGAGCTGGTCACTGGCACTGGATAGCATGACATCTCTCCTCAGCATGCTAGCGAGGCTGGCATTTCACAATCCTGAAAAACATTGCTGCTCCCTTGCAGCAGAACTGTGAGCAACTCCAAGCAGTTCACAAAGGCACGTATTCTGTATTCTTAAGCACAGGAAGAAAAAACTTCACACTAGCACAGCTGCTGTAAATAACAGGTGGATATCTATCTGCAAATACAAATCGAGGAACAAAAAGATTAAAATTGGCTGTATAAAGCTTTAGGAAACATTGAAGAAACAAACTATTTTCCTACCATTAAAAATATATGTCACCATGGTTACATGCTCTTTTTGAATATCCACAGTGTCATTTAGTCTAAATAAATATAACTAATGACTAATATTTTGAATAGAATTTTCATACAGGCTAGGTTAGCATACATTCTCTATTTCATTATTTTATTTATCACAGAGTGCTCAGAGATTTGTTATTCTGCTTACTGCTGTCCAAGTGGTAGAAATCCAGTAATTTTATTTCCAGTAGATACTGAACATTATTCTTTTTCTCCTAAACGTATTCGTAGGGTTCTTTATTGCACATAAAAGTGTCAGATTGTCAGAAGGGAAATAAATCCCTTGTTTTAATGTCATACAAATCTAGGACGGAGGGCACTACTTCCAGGCTGCTCAGCAATTTGCCTCAATCCTGCACTGGATGGGGTAATAATTTACTGTCGGTGTGTGCCTCATGATTGACGGACTGTGTTCCTGTTGTTCCAAAAATTGTTTCTGCAGATGGAAGGGAAATAGGCTGAATTTTTGCACATCAGCTTGCAGATAGTAAAGTAGTTTTCAGAAAATATCTTTAATAATTACCTTACTACTGAAAATATAGAGATTCTTACCTGACAAATAGTATTTTTGATGTTATTCCAAAGAGTTGATTCAAAACAAGCTGCACCTCAATTGAACCAATCCATTGCCGTGATCCAACAAAGGCTGCAGGTTTGTCTCCAGCATCAACCAGGGCCTTTGCAACATTGATACAAAGAAGTAATGCAAAGTGATCAACATAGACTATTCAACCATTTTTTAATGTGAAAGAAATAGGTATATAAATACAGATGTTATCACCTTGCCAGTCAAAAGCAAACAGATTGGTTATTGAATTCATTCATTGTGGTTTAGTTTTGGGAATGTCATTTGGATGCCAATACAGAACAATACCAGTAAGAAGAGAAAATGGAGTTGGGCTCATAGACAGACTTTGATCTAAGATGCTGAGCTGTGTAATATTTGAGCATACCATTTGCAGTGGAGAAGCCACTTCACAAACTGAAGTGCCTGGATTCAAGGCATCTCAGAAAAGGATTCAAAAAACAGCAGCATGAGGAAGAGGCCCTCCAAATAACACTAAGATTTGGCATTTAAAATAAATTCTGTTCAGTTTGGAAGTTTGTGTGTTGCATGCAATACTTGAGATGCCTTTTCCACTTGGGATATGTAGCCCACAAAGTCTTCTAAGAGCTGCTGCCCTCTTCTAGAAGTCTGACATGCTATAAGAACATACAGATTTAAGTTGATTTTATGTTTGGGGATGGATTGAGAAATGCTCAGGAAATCCAGTGTTTCTTTTATTGCTTAGATCCCTGTTAGGTATGATGGAAGTCTTTTCATTGAGTGAACCAAACTTTGTTAAGATATTAAGTAAATAAATGTAATACAAAATGCTGTTTGTAGAAGGCTGAAAATAACTGTGGTATTCTTTGCTAGGCATACAACATTAGTCACCAAGCCTACACTTTTTCTTCAGTGCTGTAAACAGAAATGAACATACTCAAATTCAAAAAAGAAAATGAAGGAAATGAAGGTTCAAGTAACAGAAGAAGCCTGCTACTTTAAAAGGTAAAACTGCAAAAGAAAGCAGTAAATCAATGCATAACTAAATCAGCTGTCACTGCAGACAGAAGTCTGTTTTAGAACTGATTTTAATATGACAGATTGCATCCTTTGTTCTCTTTCATTTGGCAAAAATAGCGAAAATATTATAAACAGAGCTGCTAGCAGAACACTAATCCAAGGAAATACTTAGAAAACTATTTTAATGAAGCTTATTTGTACACAAACATTTGGAGATAGCTCTCCTACTATGAATCTTGTTAAAACTAATGGAGTACTACAGTTCAATTTAAGACATTAATTTAAAATATCAAGCAAATCTGAAGTCTAAAATGTATTAATCTGTATATGGGAATCGCTGGGTCTTGGCCTGTTCCAGTGATTGAGCACCAGGTGAGGAGGCATGGCTAACCTGGGCAGCACCTGAGCAACCTGAGGCAGACCCTGGGCCCACTGCTCCTCACAATCATTTAAGGGTTAGCAGTCACAGGTGCAGCATCTCTACTGATTGTCCTCTTCTTGAGATTCTGCTGGCCTTTGGAAGGAGGTAAGATACTTTTTCCTGTACTGCTTTCTAAACTAAATCCTGACCAATACCTTTGCAAGTGTGCTCACATCCTGGTAGAAGGCACTATTACACCTTCTGTTACTGCACAATTTGCTATTTAAAGATAATTTTCACAAACTTTTCTAGATTAAATCAATAGGTATAAAAGAACTGATCTGCCCAAGCATTCTGTACCTGTTGAATTTCCTTGTGTGTTGGTATAGGTGCATCAGTGTAACCTTGCTGCTTGAACCAAGAACAGATGGTCTGCAAAGACCGATAAGCGCAGCCCCAGCCGCTGTCATCAATCCGATCTTGCATATAGTGATGATAACTGTATATGCCATGTACTAAATAAACCTGCGCAGAGACAGACAATACAAATGAACCTGATTGCTGTAGGATCAGTTTTTAGAGAAAGCATATACTTCTGTCACCTGGACTGACACTTTTAGTTAGGAGTTATAAGTCTTCAGAAGAACTGAAGGTTTCTTATTCACTCGTGATCGCTCTTCTTTTGCCTATTAAACATTTCTATTCAGTTTTATTTTCTTGTTTTGGTTCTGAGAGCCTTCTAAAATATGTACTATAAATGTGAGGTACTCTCTGAAAAGGTGTACATTATTTTATAAGACAATGCAATTTGGACACTGGGAGAATGGAGGAATGTGACATGCTAAAACAACTCCATTTTGTGCAGAGAAACTATTTTGCTTAGGAGACCCAGTAAGATAATATCATATAGATGAGAAGGAAAAGGTACAGAAACAAGTTACTTCTTTTGATGACAAATTTTTAAGGAAGCAAAAGATTTTTAAGAAGTTACATCTTGATTTAAACTTACCACACCAGACTCAGGACCAGGTGAATTAAGATGTAAATGTGGATTTCTGAGATAGCCATCTTTGTATGGTTCATCTGGAAAATGGTAAGCGTTTGCTCTCTTGAAATACGGTCTGTCACAGGGGAGGTTGAACAACCCATGCAATTCCTACATGCCAGTTAGAATAAAAAGTAAAGAGCACAACTCAGATTTGGGATTAAAAGAAACATTACATTGGTTTTGTCTGTATTATGAATTATGATCTTAACAAAATAGCTTAGCGAATGTAATTAGGTTGATATTCAGCATGTATGTTTAGTGCTAGACCTTGCCTCTAAGGTAGCTGAAGGAGGCTCACCTTCCATGTGAAGAGCCTGTCATTTCACATGGTCTTGCTTGCTTCTGCAGACCCATTCAAGATACCCCAAGTAACAAATATCTTATTGAAGTATGATAAAATACACCCTAACATGAACAAATCATATATTTTTCTTGGTAGTAGTATAGATACACACAGTGAATTCTAGTCTTAACTAATATTGAAGACCCAAATATGGCATACTATGACAGATTAAAGATACAGAGCTTATGGTTCAAACTGATTCAGTCTATTTTTATGTTGCAAGCAGAGCTCAAGATTTAAGTACATCTAAAGAGATATACTGCCTTTTTTCCACAGGAGCTAAGAGTGAAAGGAATCGTATAATAGGCTGTCTGTATTACAGGTAATGGATTTTATCTAGATAACCAAACTACACTAGTTAAAGCAACGTTCAGCAATCAGTGGATGAAACTGTACAAAAGAGAGAGAGCAGGAAAGACTTATGTATTACCCATAGCTGAGGCTTCTGGAAATGCAAGGAACATTAGGTTCAATAATACTTTATCCAAAAGAGAATGAAAAATCCCCACAGCTTCTACACATCTGAACAGGGAGACGACTATTTTCCCACTCTCAGCATGTGTAAATGCATGACCTGATCAGCTTCAAGAGCTTTCAATCTAAAGGACTGCTGTATCAGAATACTTGTGCACCTCAGCCACATTCCTTTTTCTAGATGTGCCAACCCAAAAGGCAAGAACAAAACCAACGAATTCTAGCTAGGGTTCCTCAGCTGTAAGCAACGACACTCCTTGAACAAAAAAACAACCAGGAAAAAAAGCCCTAATCCTTTCAGACAACTTGCTAAATCTTGGAAGTAGTAAACACGATCACAGTAATCTGGAAGTAGGGAATTCAGAGAATCCAGAATCAGAAATACGATACAGAATTGGTTTAATCTAAAATAAATCCTATATAGTTTTGTTTCCTCACAAAAATGGGATTTGATTCATTTTATAAAATTTTTAATAAATCAATTTTACACTACATGTATAATTAAAAAAATCAGGATCTGTTAGTATTACTTCTATACTGGCTTAATGAAAAGCTTTATCCTTGCTTCAGTGGTAATAACAGTAAAAATAAAAATCAGGTTATCTTATTATTTGTTGTGTACTGGCTAAATGAAAACACTTTACCTTTCTATAACTTTCCAGTTGATCATCTGAAATACCTGTAGGGTATGAAATTGTTACAAGGTGATTTTTTCCTGGTAACATGAAATGAAACTGCTCTGGTACCACAATTGATGTTCCCTTCATGTATTTCATGATGCATCTTTCCATATCAGTTAATTGCTTGTGAATTGCTTTCACCAGGAGATTTTGTACCCTGTGAATTATAAGGAACAGTATTTAACTAGCAGAAGAATGATGGTGTCAAACAGAAACAAATCCTATGGGAAAAACAGAAAGAAAGAATACAAAGACTTTGCATTCCCCACCTTCAGTTATACCTTAGCATAATTCTGAGAATACAGTCATCAGATGTACTCTGTTTTATACACACAGTCTTGTAAGAATGACAAGAATCTTTACAGAATCTTTCTCAATTCCTTGCTCAGCAATGGCTCTGAGTTATCCCATCTATCAGACAGTGATGAACTGATTTTTTTTTTTTTATAGATAGCAAAAAGATTGTGTCTCATGAGGTCTCATGAGCATTAAGACTAAGAAGTGTCTACAGGAGTTACTATTACACAAATTTCAGCACATGAATACTACATTCTCTTTTATTAAATTGATACATGATAATGATAGTTATCCTTTACAAGAAAAACAAAGTGAAAAATAAATAGAAAAAAATTACAAGTTCAGGATAATACTTACTTTCCCCACGTTTCTTCTGGAGAAACAGAAACAACAACATCAACTGGCAATGTCATATTAATGTAGTGGTGCTCCTTATTTTCTCTTTCGATGACTGGAGTCAAAGCATCTAATGAAGATGTCATCTCTAACATGAGGTCAATATTGATTACCTGCTGCTGCACAGAATAAAGACACCAGCAGTGTATCTCCAACAATACGTTCTCCAAGAGGGCAAAAGGAAAACTGTACAAAGTTTGATATAAAGTCCAGTAATGAAATAACTGGGATAAAGACTGAAACTTCTGTGTATTGATCTGCATTCATGCTGAGCCTCAATGACTTTAAAGGGTTTTTTCTAAGTCATTTAAACATGTCCTTTTGCAAAGATAAGGCTAGGGAGGGCAGATTAACAACTTTTAAGTGATGGGTCATCAGATAGAAATTATTAGGGTGAGACACGTACCATGTCTTGTAGCTTTTTATCCTTTTTCTTGCCAAGCTTTCGTCGGGTCTCATCATCTTGATCAAAGCTGAAGTATCAACAGAAAATTGCATATTCTAGAAATTGCTCCAATCCTTTACAAAATCTTTTTTTTTTTTTTTTTAAATATACTCACTGTATAAATCGTTTTATCTCCTTGCAAGCAGAATCATCAGTCAGCTCTGGAATAGTGTGGATACCGTTGTTGGGCCACACATAGACTGAACTGTGGCAAACTCTTAATACAAGAACATCTGAGGACAGCTTATTTGCGAGATCACTGAACACGTATCTCAATGCACTTTTTGCTGATGCTTCTGAAACACAGGAAAATTAACTTAAATTCTCTCATTTCTGTGATGGCTGCTGGACTAACATTTCTTTAATTGATGTTTTGATAATAAACATAAATGTAAGTGCTATTATAATCAGAAAAATGACTGCGAGAACAAAAAGATAAGATTTCACTTGGCAGGTCTGCTTCAACAAAAGCATACTGTTTTCCTCGGCTTCCAAATAACAACCTACATTGTCATTTATTCTCCCATCGAGCCTACAGCTGCAAACTTCTGTGGATAGGAAAGCTGCTATATACGCATATATCCGATCTTTTCAGTAGATCCCAGAAAGATTGAATCAGAGCTGCATTCACTGACTTCAGAGCATTTTCCAAACAACTGCCTTAATACTAAGTTTTTGGAAAAAGAGAGAGTATAGTTCATCTGCAGACAAATTCTGGAAAATATAGATGCGTAACCAAACCAGCCACACTTTGGCAAGCCTAAATCTTAATTACTGGTACAGACTCTTGTCTTTTAGATCTTAATTTGTCTTACTAACAGTTTCACCCATTCCTTACAACCTGAACCAATACTGCATATGACAAAGCAACTTCTGCATATTAGCAGTATTGTCTTCCTTACTTACATGATCAGCAACGTGTACCTAGAATGTAGTAAGGTATTTTAAAAATATCTCACAGATTCATTAAGGCTGGAGAAGACCACTGCAATCATTTAGTCCAACCATTAAATGAGAGCCTAGCAGAGGGTGGCTTCAATCCACTGACCTTTGGGTTATGGGCCCAGCAAGCTTTCACTGGGTGCCATGCCCAATTGGATTTCTTCAACTCATTAACTTAGGTCTGGCCACTATTGACTTCTATGCTCAGAAGCTAAATTATTAGGAAAAAAACCAAACAAAATTTGTCCCTGGAGACAGCCAAGGTCAGGCAGGAGGGGCTGTGAGCACCTGATGGAGCTGTAGGTGTAGTTGTTCAGTGCAGGGAATGGGACCACGTGGCCTTCAGGGGTCCCTTCCAACTCAAATGATTCTATGATCTAGTAAAATGCCAAGAAAGCAATTTTTTTTTAAATCTATAACAATCTTACAGACACACCATCAGTAGTTGCCAGCTGAAATGCCAAATCCAAGCCACCTCTTATTCTAAAGAGTATGTCCATGGCTTCCAGAGTTACCTAGGGAGAAAAAAGAAGTCATTAAGTTATTTCAGCATGCTTTCTCTCAGGCTAAACTTGACTTCCAATGCCACGGTGTGGAGGCAAGGCCAGTGAATAAGCAGGGAGCTGAAAGGCACGCCGGCACGTACCTCCCAGAGCCATCCTCCATTGCACGAGTGCTGTTACGAGCCGCCCACGAGAGCCGCGGGGTGACGGGCCCTTCCTCGTAGCCACGCCGGCTGCGCGTGTGAGCAGAACGGCAGAGTGGCTCGGCGGGCGACCCTTGCCATGCGCTAACGGGGCATATAGGGAGCCCTCCAGCCCGGCCCTCCCTCCCCCCGCCGTGAGGTGGCGCTGTGGCAGTTGCCCAACCGCGGGGACCCCCTGGGGGAGGCGGGCTTACCACGTCCGTCAGCGCTGCAGCGGGGGCCGAGCCCGGCCGCATCGTCTCTGCGCAGGCGCGTTCCGCCCCGCAGGAAGGAGGCGCGGAGGGCGGGCCGTACCAATGCAGGGCGCGGGGCGGAGGCGGAGGCGGCTGCCGCGCGCCTGTGGGCGTCTGGAGTCGCGCGCCGAGCCCGCCGTTTCCCGAGGGCGCGAGGCTGTGGTAGCGGGCTTAAAACTTTATTTAATTAAAGTTTGATTGCTGTCCGTTCTGCACGTACAGCGTAAGCAAAGTGAGCCTAGTGCTGCCACCGCGTTTCAGCACAGGGTCAGTACGAAGCGCTCTGCGATCGCAGGTGCTTCCAGTGCTGCCCGCAGGCTGTGGCGCGCCGATGCGGGCGCGACGTTATTCGTCCCGTGCGTGGTGCTGCGTGAGGCACTGCCGCTCGCGGCTCTCGGACCCGCCTCTGCCCACGCAGTTATTTACAGACGGACTCGTCTGACCTCCTTACCCTCCTTCCAGCCCTGCTGCCGGGTACTTCAGCTGTTTGTTTTACGCCACGTGACGTGATTTTTTTCCCCAGCAATTCGTGTATTTCTTCACGTTGGGTAAGCGGCTTTCCTAACCGACGGAGCAGTTTCTTCTATGCTGTTTGTGCTGCTGGCTCCTTCCCTGCCAGCTGATTCTGACCCCCATGTCTGCTTTTGGCTCAGGCTATCAGCCCCGTGCTCGCTGCTCGCATCCCTTTGTTCCTTAGACTTCTCATGCAGGCACTGCCCCGCCTTCTGTCAGGCTTCGATCAGGGTGACGTTGAGGAAAAGCAAACATTTGCTATAAAGAAACGTTTGCGCTGAAATCAAGAAGAGATGGGAAATATTCACTATGACCAGGTTGTGGTAGGAGGGCTTCTGAAATTCACAGAATGACAGTGTCATAGGGCTTAGAAGGTACATAGGGAAGTCACTGGGTGCAACCTCCTGCCATAGGTATATTGCACAGGTGGGCATCAGATGGGTCTTGGATATCTCCAGAGAAGGAGACTCCACAGCCTCTCTGGGCAGCCTGATCCAGTACTCCATCATAAAGTATCATAAACTAGTTCTTCAATTCCATTTCTGCATCTTATCCCACATTTGTCCATTCTGTGTCCTTCTATACCGTTAGCTGAAAGTGACTAAAAGCGTTGGTAGAAGTAATCCCCAAGATGAAGGAGGCTTGCTTTTTAGTGAAAATTGGCCACTGTTATAATACTAGAGGACATAACGTTACAGAAAGAGCCAGTGATGTATTCAGTACAATCAAGCATATTGATAACAGTGTCCTAGCCCTACTGTACATACAAACTCTACACCTGCACTGGATGTGGAGGAGTACTGGTGAACTCATTGTGACATAGGAATTCTACTTTTTTTTGAGCATAGAATAGGTCACTGTAGTGAGTTATTGAGTTACTTTTTCTGTCATATTTTTAAGATCTGTCCCTCAAAATGCCAACTTAAAAAAAAACAAAACATATTAAGCCATGAATTCATTAATTACTTAACATTTTCTTTAAAGTTTCAATGCAAGTTTAAGCAACACTATTTTATTTAATAGTCTGCTATTCAGTGCTTTTACATACTTTTACATGAAAAATATTTGTATGAAATCAATTATACTGTAGATTGACACTTTTTTTTTCCTTTTAGTTGCGAGCATGAAAGGAGACACACTTGATCCTTATCCAAGCCATTTTGCTGATCCTATGTAATTAAGAAAACTGTGGCTGTCCCATCCAGTAAAGAAGAAAACTGTTATCCATCCTCCTCCTGGACCAGAAAGCAGACCTGTTACAAGTATAATGACTTTAAATGTCACAAGGTAAGGCGCTTTGATTTAAATTCATGTTTCATGTGTGCTGTCTACCAAAATTCATTAGGACAGCTGTTTACTTTCTAAATTAATTGAATAATTGAAGGAATTAATTATTAATGAAAAGATAAGAAATGTTTGAGGAGCCTTGCTTTCAACATTTATTCCTAAACTTTTGTAAATGTGGGTCACTGTGAAAATATTCTAGAGACCTTTAAATTAGGCAGTACGGTTATAATTGAAAAATAGTTTAAAATATCTTTTCTGACTTAATAAATATAAAAAAAAAAAAAAAAAAAAAAAGACTGAGCATGCTCCTGTTAAAAAACAGAATTTAGTTTTGTTTTCACTTATGTTAATAGAATAAAATTGGCTCCCTCTACTGGCAAATGTAATACCAGTTATGTCAGCCTGTGAAGTTTTTGAAACAATGACAGTCACGTCAGATCATGACTACAGACATGTGATTGTGTAATGTTAGATTTATAATAGAGTGGATTTATATAGGCATACAAGCACGCTGTTTGCCTTTTAAAATCATACTAAGTTATAAACTTTATTTTTTAATATTTTTCTGTATTTGGCTTTATTGTAATTCATGCTGGTAGTTGGGACTGTGTTCTTTAGAATTATTTAAAGAAATCAAATTTAAATGGGGTTTCTAAGACTGCATGTAGAACAGGTAAGCATAGATGTACAAGTAGATGTGCATTTGTTTGCGTACTCCACAAGAAACACATATGACATATTTTAGAAATACTTGATTAAAAACTGGAAAACAGTCTTAGAAGAGTGTCACAGAATTATCTCTATATCTGTGTCCATGACACAAAGGATATTTCATGTTTGTGATTTGTCTTTTACATATCTCGTGAGGTTTAAGAAATACACCTTTTATCCACCTGTGGCTGTTCTGTTTATTTCACCACATATCTGAATTTGCATGATCACTTTTTAAGTCGCAGAAATTGTTCAAAGTTTTAATTTGAACTGATAAGGCCAAACCAGAAGCTACATATGACTCCCCACTGATTTAATTACTAATGGAAAATAAGAAAGAATGGAAAATAACTTTTTATACACCAATCGTCTGTTAACTACCAACACTGATGTAAGAAAGTACAACCTTCCATGTATCCACTCATGTTTTTTAGCTAGTGGAAGAGAAAAATGTTGGTATACTGTCTGGGTAGCCTTATTATCAGTGTATTGTTTGTGTTACTGTTTCAACAACGGCTTAAAAATTCATGTTCCCAAATGAAATGTTTTTATGGGAAACAAACAAACAGAAAAACCTAACTTCATTTGAAGTAAGTTTCAGAATTGAAAAAGAATGAGTGATTGTGAAGTATCACTGTGTGCTTGCAGTTACTGTTATGAGGGACTTATTACAGTTTTTATGTACTTCCCAGTGGAAAACTTATCTTCCCTCTGGTGTTTTGACCATAATCTTACAACTGGATTTGCTACTGTAAATTCTTGCTCTCTGTGCGTAGAGTTCTATGAAAACCAAGTAAATGCCATGCGGATTCAAGCCGTTAAATCTAACTACAGACATGTGTGTAACAGCTTTTTGCTTTTACAAAAGCTTCCCTGTTTTGTAGAGTAATATTCTAAAAAAATCTAGTAAGTTTAACATGATCTCCATATCAGATCAATAAGTTTATATAACTACAAGACTGCACACCTTACATCTAATTAGGTAAAAATGGTGAAATGAAAGGTATACTTTTTAGACTCTTAACAGTACTGTTGATGATAGGCAACAGTAGCAAATAAAAATATGAAAAGTGGAATTCAAGTACATAAGGCAATCCAGTTTGATTAAACAGTGAAAGTGCAGTATTTGCTTATTTGATTATGTGTATACTTGGTTATGAAGCCATGATAATTCATTTAAAATCATGTATTTAGTAAATTCAGTGGTAAATAAATTTTCATCTTACTGCTTCATTTGACTTTTGAAATATACTTTCACAAAACATACTTCCTAATGAGTAATTTAGGTTCAAATTAACAAAATATTGTAACAGAAAAAAGTGCTCTTCTTAGCAGAAGTGGTGTATGTGTTAGACAGGTAAGTCAATTGCTCATGGTGAAACTGAGGTCATTGTTTCCCTTTAGTACTATTACAACTGGTAGTTTATGTCAAGCTTACTTTATTTAAGAACCATCTTAAAGACCTTCAGTTATGATGACCTTCTCAAAATGACTAATATCAAGGATTGCTGGTATTGATATAAACCTGACCTAAAATCAGCTTGTTATAAAGGGAGTTATCTCTATTTATCATCATCTATTTACTACTCTTTCTCTGTTTCCTGACAACTCTAAGTGCTGCCATATTCTCCCAGGGAATATACAAGAGAATGTACATGGAAGGACCCTAACAAATGTAATGTTTCAATCTTCTTGGTTAGAACTTTAATCCTAATTTTTTGTCAGGTTTTTATATGTGGTCCAAGAAATTTGTTCATGTAAGTCAAAACTAATTCATTATTTAAAAAAAACCCAAACATGTCCATTCCCCAAACCCTCTGCATTTATATATCTAAATGACGTTACGAAAAAATGAAGACATTTCTTTATTCTTTACTGTAAGTATCCTTATTTTTGTTCATAGCATCCTTTTTTTTTTTTTTTTTTTTTTCCTTTTGAGAAATTTTAGACTGGACCTCACGTTCCCTACCATCAAGGAAAAGGAAACAAAACTGACAGTTGTTGATTAGGTCTTCCAGAATTTATTAAGGCATAAACCCCTTGCTTGGAAATCAAGAAGGCCCAACAATATTTTAAAATATTGAAATTGAGATTCAGAATTCCAAGGTAGACTGAACTGCACTGTATTTCCTCTTAACTGCTGTTCTGATGTAGCATAGCTGATGAAACCAAAACAAATACCTATAGATCAGATCATGGCTGTATTCCCCCCAGCTTAGGATGTTTCATACACTAGTAATCTGCCAATGCTAAGTAGATTTTCCTTTGGAAAAGTGAACTTTCTGGCCATTGCAGAAATAGGCCATTTGTGTTCTTCAGGAGGAAATGACATGAGAATAATAGAAGCCTTCAAGTTAACTACTTAAGAGGTTATTTCAGTGGGCTTGTTAGTGATCAGGAACAGTCACAGGTGAAGCTGTGTTTATGAGAAATGTGAACACTGACAATAGCCCCTTACTCTACTGGGAAGGGCACAACACTCCTGTCTAGAAATTATAACCACGTCAGAATTCCTTCTGGCAAGCGGATATCCTCTAGATAACACCCCAGGAGTCTCTCTTCATACAGATGATCACAAGCATGATTTGTACCTTATAAATAGCCTATAGAAATTAACAACAAAACAACAAAACATACTTGTAATAGCATAAAATTTCATTCTTCTCACAGTAATTTTTCGACTTAAATGCCAATTTAATAACATCTTACCAAGTGAGACACCATCACTGCTCCATCACAGTTTGCACCTACGAGGTCACCTTATTATCTGCTTTCAGTGATCTAGAAAAAGAGGCCACCATCAGATTTTGTCATTCAAAAACCCAGCCTCCTCATAGTGAAACACTTTTACCATGGTGAAGATAGTGTGAGAATGGCTGCTGTGTTCATTTTTGTTTCTCAATAATTTTTCCAATAAGCTGGAGACAGTTGTCGAAAGGACAGTTTTTAAATCATCCAATAAACACTGACTTCTAAATAAAATTTTAGGGAGACATCCATGATTCTGGATAGATATAATCCAGTGCTTTTCTAGAATACCAGCTTAGATTGGCTTAACAACTTACCGTCTTCTCTTCTAATGTATTCCATAAGTTGTTCTGGGGAAACAACCATCTCTTCAATCAAGTATTCTCATACGTATTTATCTTAAAAAAGAGCAAAAAATAGAAATAAATAATTTACTGAACTCTAAAATTCACATGAATGCATTAAGTTAACATTACCAGGAATCAAAGTTAATTAGTTGAATGTATTTTTACTTTAATTTTCCTATGAACATGGCTATTGAGGAAGATTTAGGCCTACATCAGAACTGTAACTTAGAACAGAGGTAAAAACAAACAAGAGATTGAGGAAGTGTCCTAAAAATAAAACTGGTGAGGGAAATTCCCTCAGAAGAGGTCTGGAAAAATATTTTTGTAAATGTTACAAAGCCATAATGATACAGCTAATAAACTGGTCGATTAGGTTGTCTAAAAAAATAAATAAAATCCAGTTTGTTTGCTACAAAACTTATGAAAAAGAAGCTAAAGTTGGCATTAGTATGATTTATTTTTCCCTACAGTTTATCTCACTGAATAGTTCTATTCTGATGGCTAACCTGTAATTACAAGTAGAAGAAAACTGTATCAAGACTTCTAAAACGTTAAGCTAGGGGATCAAATTGTGGCTGCAGCTCCATTAACGACGACTCTCAAGTATTCACTGCTTTAGTTAAATAAAATATATTATCTCGGAAAGGATGAAGTCTGCATTTGTAAAAATAAAAGTAAGTCGGTGTCAGCAAGCCCAGCTTCACTGCTGTTATTCTGCTACATCAAGTGGCCTTTTCCTAACTTAGAAGATAATTACATAATTTGATATGGAAACCTTTTCAACTAGGTGCCTTCCAGGAAGACTATAGTAAAAATTCTGTACCTGGAACCTGACTATCACAAGAGGGAAAAAAATAATTAATAGAAATCAGATCAGGCTAAACAATGAACATACTTTAATGCAAGTATTCTGAACTCAGTTATATGCCTGGATATCATTCCACAGACTTCTTTTCCCCATCTCCTTCACACACAAGCATCTACAAATACAGAACAATTTATTTCTGTTCCATCTCCTTCCAGCAGCATTAATAATATATCACATTTTGTAAGCCATAAAAGTGAGTTGTCATACAGCTCTACAGAAGTGTGTCAACAGATCTCCCACTTAACTGCTCTTTCTATAGTTCATTCCCTCTTGCTCTCTTCTTTCCGTATATCTTGACTTTGCTCTCTTCTTACGTGGGTTTACTT